GAAGGAACGCAGTCGGTTTTTTATATTTTGACCACAGAAACTGCATTGAAGATTGACACAGTATTTGTCTTGTTTGCCGTTGCGTTCTGGGAAATCCAATTGCTGTAAAATACTTTTCAATGCAATTGCTATAAAATGACGAGATTTTAGCGAAAGTGCATGAGTGCACGAACTAATGTACTTGTCGCAAAATTGAGGTTAATCTGAACATAGTTAGTAGAGGAGTCTCCCTCTACGAACTTATTGATCTGAAAGACAGGATCCTGCCGGCGACCGACGAACAAAGTGTGGCGACGAGCTAGCGAGACGTGAACAGAGGTCCAAAGTGATGTTTCGTGTCCGCTTTACGTTGAGATCTATATCTAGTCCTACGTGCGAGCATGGTGGGTCTTGGTGCATAGGTTATAATCTTTGCAGTTTTCAGTCTGACTGTTTCAGTGTTTTGCTATAGATGCACACGACGTGGAATTATAACTTATAACGACACAAGACCGCATAACAGACTGTACGATACGTATACTATTCCTGGCCCGTCACGTAAGTAATGTATATACAAATCTGTAAAGCAGCGCGTCTTTCCCTAGGATTATAGGGCTCTAGGTGAGCGCTGCATTGGTTGATACAAATCACGTGCCTCAAACTCCTGTTTATGGTGCATTGTGACCATAGAATTATGTATTAGATAACGCGTAGGTTATCTATACTAGTTTCTGATGATTGGTGACCCTAACCTAACCGCTATTAATAAGATTAACAAGCGTGCGCAGGAGGCGAACAGCGCTCCTCTAACGTCTACTGCGTCGGACTCTGTGTGGGTGGATTCTAAGTAAAGCCTGTTCGTCCAAATTTGTTCACTAACACCCGAAGCAGTGGAAGGCACATGGATGGTATCAGGAACCTCTCTCTCAAGGAATGGTTCGTTGGGATCGGTATGAAATTCCACGAGATGGCCGTACGTTTAAATGTCTAAGGTTAACAGAGTGGAAGCTACCATTGACGTAGTCAGCAACAACTTATTGCAAGACAGAATAGGTAAGGCCTCATCCATCTACGTGCAAGCTACAGGCTGAAATGAGAGCTGCCAGCCGGCAAAAACTACACAGTAAATATCAACCAGCCACATGCACTGCTAGTGAGCATATCCGGTTACATGTAACACACCTGACAGTACAAATGCCATAGAAATTAAACGATTTAAGGAGGCATAAACCTTCTCCAACCAAACTTTAGCTTTGGAAATTTCAACTGTGACCATTGTAGGCCTGCATAATCCAGGCATGTAAGATTTCTACTTCGCAAAGCCCGGCAGTCCATTCCTTTCTAACAGACAGTAAACAAATCCATGTTTAACCTTGTTTATCGACACTTACTCTTCGCATGTCAGCAGAAAGGTACATTCATTGTCGCTTTCTCAATAAAGCCATAAAATCCTAGAGTTCCGCCGCTGCAAACAAAAAGTTTCTCAATCGCTCCGTCAGAACCCCCCTGTCCTCAGAAAATTGTCTAACATCTGCCCTGCGCCCCCATTTGACCTTGACCTTTGACATCCAATTTCGCAACAGTGATGCTTTTTCCTACATGATGCTATAACACGCGACTATCACAGCTAGGTCGAGCCGTTAGATTTGTGCGCAATTCTGCATTTCCTCCCTATAACCTTAAGTTAAGGAGGGAATGTTCCCCTTCTTACCACTCTTGACCTTTTGACCTTGACCCCCAGCTTCGACATCCAACTCGTTTTGGATTGCCACACCACATCCGCGGCGTTTCGAATTTCGTAGCGTCGGCGTTTAGATTTGTGGCCGCCTGTTGACGACGGCACGCACTGCACGCTCAATGCGATTCTGGCAAGCTGCAATCTGACCATGTCAGATGAGGGCTAAAGAAAATTGTAAATTTGTAAAGAATTAATTGTTGTTATTAAATTGTTGTAAATAAATAATGTAAATATTTGCATTAATTCAATAATTGGAAAAAATAGTTAAATGAAATAAAGATAGAAAAATACAGCAAACAGGAAAAAAAGAAAGAAAAAAGGGATTTCGCGATCCCAACGACCTTTCAACTCCTGACGTCGTCTCTACGCGGTCGGCTATTCAGGATTAACTAGTATTATATAATTATGGATGTGCCATGGAATACTTACGATACCAACACTGTGACGTCATTGAGCGACGACAACAAGCTCATAATTCCTAACCCTAGCATACGTTTTCTTGGAGCTAGCTTTCGCATTAGTTAGGGTTAAGGATTTCGGATTAGGGTTAGGGGAGTTGGGTAAACTGATTTCTAATATCCACAACTTATTTCTATCTCTCCCCTGAGACCGCTCCTGGGCCAAAGATAGAGAAGCATGTATCCCGGCAATAAAACGCGAATGTGCGCTAACCCTAACCCTAACCCTAACTTCTAACGCCTAAGTTCTAACGCCTAAACGCCTAACTAACCCTAATCCTACCTAACCAAACCCTATACCTCTTAATCTGAATAATAATAATATTTATGATGATGTAAATGACATTGGTTTTATTAGGATACATGTTCTCTATCCTTGAACCGACCTACTCTAGTAAGTAGTACTACCACTTGCCTAATTCCTGCGTAGGCCCCTAGTCAGTGGTATCCGTCAATCAGTGATTGACTCAATCAATGTGAATGTACTGTATCCGTAAAACTGTCGTCAGTACATGTATTTGTATCTGAATTCATGCATAAAGATTTAATGTTAATGTAATGTTATATCTATATATGCTTACTCACTTCAAAGATCATATACAATTGTATATGATCTTTGCTCACTTGACCTAAGGTCACTTTCACTTGTTACGCCGCGATTTATTCAATTAATGCCCAAACGGGAGCGCCACAAGCCGCCAAGATGGCAGAGAAAGTTCGCAGCTGTATGCTGTATCAAAAGAAAAAGGTTGTTTCGCTTCATAACGGTGGAACTGGGTGAAGATATTGACCAATACTTCAAAGCAAAGTAAACCTTTTAGAGAAAGCCACGTGCAAAAGTTGGAGCTGGACAATAAGGTAATGTAGTATAAAACAGTAAACGTGGTGTGTCAGCCACTTTCACTGATTGGAGGATTCACTGTACTGTCAATTGTACTGTAGTGTAGTACTCATCAATTATCATGGATCCAAACCATCATCATCATACTGTAATTTACATATATTCACTTGCTCCAAGAAAACGGCCCATCATGATATATCAAAAAGACCATGTGTATGGCCTTAGTCCCACGCACTGGTGGACTACATATAGTTCTAGCTCCCAGAAGCGGTCACCTGAACAAGTACAGAAACGTTTGTCGATTTTGTCATTTAATGAATTAATTATTATCATGCGATAAACATTTCATGTGTTAGAAGTATTATTATAAAACTCTAAATCAATGTTACATCAATACATCAGTAGAATCAGAGTCTAATAATACCTAAGGTACTGATTAGCTCTCTTGATGTGAATACATCAACGGTGCAGCTAAGGAGCACAGATAGCAACAGTAGACTTATGCATGTCATGTTCATGGCTAACCGACCCAGCGCTGTGTGACTAACGTCAATACACCGCCTGACATCCAACCATTGAACTCTGTAGCTGTACAAAAACTACGCGAACAATTACGTAAGTCTCGCAAAGTAAGAATTTATCATCTAAGCATTTCTGGCCTTTTTTGTATGGAAATATAATCTTCACCTTTATAGAGTTATTCCAGCGTTGTTATTAAAACTAATACCTGAGCTGTTGGCTGTGGCCAGTGTAAATTTAAAGCCAACGGGAAATTTCAATAACCGGCGCAACCGCATTCTTGCAATGGCGCATGATTTTCGAACGCAACGCGGAAACCCGAAACGACATAACATACCATGCGTTGCTACTCTGCGTTGCCCGAGCATAAAAAAGGCATCAATATACTCGTATATATAGGTAGAATATTAAACAGTGAAAGCCAGGAATCGTTCGAATCTACACAACTTAATAATATGATTGCGAAGATATGTACTGCGTTGTATTGGCCTTACGCACTGTGAAAAATCAGGTCCATGCCGATTTTAGTTGCACTGAACATGGCAGACCATGGCGGCTATCTGGTTGTTTATCCAACTTCATCTCAGAAGAAACGGGCATAACTGCAATAAATAAGTGCGGCCCAGTAGCGGCCAGTGGTACCGCGAAGGCAAGCCAAGGTTATTGATTCGTTGAGCTATTACAGGTACGCGAGCTGCTGTCATCGATGTGTGGAGTACGGAGGCCAACTACACAGACATGTGGCAATAATTCTGTAAAGCGGTATCTAAACCCTAGCAATACCGTTTCCTGGAGCTAGTTCATGGCAAAATGACAATATCTGATAGTTGCGTTGGTGGTGCCACAAATATGGGACTTTTGGCTTCAGATATCAATCATTCAGCTGGTTAGCTAATGCATATATTTGTAATTTGTTACACCCATATATACAAATACTTACTGATATCCAACCATGTATCTACCAGATCTAGTAAGTACTATATAGTGTATCATCCATCAGTCCATGACCCACATTACATGTAATGAGAGACATGAAGAATATTTTGTTAGAGCTGCCTACTTTGCTAAGTGAAATGCACTACAAAAATGTATAAACTACAATCACTGTACCAGACAGAGTTAGGGGTTAGGATGGCGAAGCTTCTAGGATAGGTTTTACTATTTTGCTGCTTATTATTAGCCAACTAACATATTTCTATAGATGCTCAATGCACCAGTGGGCCACCACATAAGGCTATGTATATGATTCCTGACATTAACTCATCCCTACATGTAATTCTTCCAGCTGTCATCTGCTAGAAAAGGAGATGGTGGCATCAGTCAGTCACTTAACAAAGCAGAGTCATCACTGAAGAAAATTGAGGACCTGTTACAGAAACAGCAACAGGCTGCTAAAGACATTGCAGATCATCTGGAAAAAGCACAGCCAGTGGTTGAACAGTTGGTGTCACTTAGCAGCAAAGTTCAGCAGTTGGAAAGATATGTTTACTATCTAGAGTGGATATTGCAAGTAGATGAAATAAAGTAAGCATTGGCTGCAACTGATATTTGTATTTTATTCACAATCACTGCACAGAACTGAGTATTCATGTACATCATTGAATAGATGCCATGTGGAAAATTACCTTTTCGTCATTAAGTCGTGTAGTACAACTTTGGGAATTTCATACTCCCGTACTTGTTTCAGCTCATCGATACAAGCGGCATTGCTGATAAAAGCAGAGGAACGATGTGTCAAACACTATGCACAGCTGGCAGAGCTGAGCAAAACCATCGCAGGGTCTTCTTGTTGTCATCTAGTCAAATTTGTCAATGACACATTAATGTTCTGGTTTAAAATTATACTGGAAAAATTTGGTGGGTGAGTGTTAGCAAATAAGTCCATACAGATTTTGACCTTGAAGAGTCTGCTCATTTTAGTTGGTGGCTCATCAGTGATTCAAATTGATTACTTTTAATTGCTATCTTCATTTAACAATCTAATTGGTTGACTTACTAAAACAATTGTATCAGTTTGTTGGTTAGCCAATGATTATTTGACTATTATGTTGGTGGGTGTATGTTTGTGTACAGTTGCCAGCATTATGCTTATTACATCTGGAGATACGATCGATTTTCGCAGAATAAATTTTTTATGTACAGAAAACCATTTGGGATTTCATTTGCAGTTCACGATTAGTAAAAAGGCATAAAACAAATGCATAGAAGGCGAGTGAATCCTGAATCATACTACAGCATGTGTTTTTGTGTTGCAGCGAGTTTGAGGAAATTCTGAAAGCTTTCAACTGGCCCTTTATCACGTCAAACATTTTAAAGCAGCTACCACAGCCAAGCAAGGAGCATGTTGCCGAACTACACGCCAAATTAGATTCCTTGTTCGGCTCCCTTCTACAACTGCAATTGCCGTATCCTTATACGTTAATTATAATTTTGCTGTTCATTTATTAGTGAACACCCTTTCAGATTCTGAGAAAGTTCATTTTCCCTAGTGTTTACCATGGATTATTCTCTAAAAAGTCATGTCACACTCGTGTTCCTTAACTAATCTAAACTCCAGAGAACATCTAATAGCAGAGGATCCAATTGTAGCCATCATTCCAGAGTGGAGACCACTTCCTCTTCCCCTTCAACTCTTGCTGAAGCCTCTTAGGAAAAGGTTCAAGTTTCATTTTTGTGGGAAAAAATTGACAAACAACATCGAAAAGGTGACTGCTGGAGGATGTACAAGGAAGCATTTATACTCAACTTAAAATTACTTGAGTTGTAATCGTGCAAAGGAATTTCATAGCCATGATATTCATACATTAAGTCTGCAGTCCCTGTTTCTAATAAATGTGAGTCACTGCCAAAACTTGTATAGATTTTAAATGGTATTACAACTCTGTGTAGTTATACGTCATCTAAATGATATAGTCTCTGTACATACAACTGTCTACTCTGTACTACATCTGAGCAGCCTACGTATCCAGTCGATGGCCGTGCTATATGTGTATCTACGTGAGTGTTTGTGTGGGTGTATCTAACTACTATCTGCACGCCCGCAGCCGGAGTGGTACATGACGCAGGTGCTGAGCTGGATTCGTGATCACAGCGGGTTCCTGAAGAAGCGCATACAGCCGCTGATGGATCGCGCCGGCCTTAAGTACATGGACGCTGTGGTGAGCACATTAACCAACAACCTTCACTGGGGTTTCCCTCGTATGGGTTCTCAGCAAAGGACACGTGGATGTTGGCGCGGAAAGTTTGGTCAAGTGATTTGCCACTGTGATTGTGCGGTGCATTCAAGCAAAGCATTTAACTTTGCAGAAAACGTGCAAGACTGTATTGCGTGTGTACATATTTCGATGGTCGTCAAACATGCGAGGAACATTGTATATGGTCCACGAGGTCATTCGGTGTAAACCTTAAAGTTAAAAGTAAATTCATCTGCAACTGAAATCTCTCCCTGTTAGTTATGTGCTGTTGTCGTCGGCAGGGGAGCTCCTGCAGGGCCTCATACTGTTCGCGCGTTGTTACCGTTAGTTATGTGCTGTCATCGTCGGCAGGGCGAGCTCTTGCAGGGCCTGATACTATTCCCACGCTGTTACCATTAGTAATGTGCTGTCGTCGTCGGCAGGGCGAGCTCTTGCAGGGCCTCATACTGTTTGCGCATTGTTACCGTTAGTTATGTGCTGTTGTCGCCGGCAGGGCGAGTTCTCACGGGGCCTCATGCAGCTTGCCCTTGAGAAGCTTGCAGCTGACCTTCCCATGATCGAGGATGACGTCGTGTTCTCGCACACCGTCGATGAGACGCTGCTGTTCAACCGTGAGCTGCGGAGTGCAGGTGGCGCTGCCGCAACGCCCGGCTGCCTGCACGTGCTGTGTGGCGACACCATCTTCGACCGGTGGCTCACCCTGGAAAACAAGTGTGAGTGTTGCAATGCGGGGTGGTTGGCAGTGCCATGATCCTGGCATTATAGCAGCAATACGTCATTGGTTGAAATCGTAGAACTTGGTAGAAATACATGCACAGCACATAATACATTACACGTTATGTACAGTACTTGTACATAACACGTAATGTTCAATATGTAATACGTAATACCATTAACATTTCTATGAACTCTAACGAGTAATGATGTGTTTATGATAATTATACATAATACACAATGTTCGCATTACGGTGATGGAATGACGTGCAATCCATTTGGTATGTATAGATCAGTGAGTGGCATGTGATTTCCATATTCCGACACACCTGGAACCGTGAGGTCGCAATCAGATGAGGAAACAGTATGGACGAGGAAACAGTGCATTGCTGAGAAGCACTCTGCTGTGCATCTCTAGTATTTATGATAACTTGTTCGACGGAAGATATGAAGACTTGGGGAAGTTAAATCGACGGTCCTGTCATGCTTACCAGTTGCAGCGGAAAAGATGGACGCCTTGCTGGAATCAGAGTCTGCCTGGCGTCTCCAGTATGGAGACAACATGGCCGACGTAGACGATCTAATGGTGCCGGAGTGCACCGAAGCCTTCATGACCGTTATGCTGCTGATCACAGGTGAGTGCTCGATCACACGCGTACGAAATATCGTCGCTGCTAATCACAGATTGGCACTGTAAATACCTTTACTATGGATTCACGCCATTCACGGTGGGCCAGGCCCGGTTAGTCTGGAAATATTTGCTAGAAGTAAGCATATTAACTTGCGCAGTGTTTGTTGTGATTTGTTGCATCGCTGTTGTAATTTGTTGCATCATTGTTGCAATTTGTTTTGCTGTTGTTGTAATTTGTTGCGTCATCGTCGTTGTAATATGTTGTGTCATTGTTGCTCACAGACAGGTACAGCTCCTTGCCTTATGCTTCGCACAAGATGCGTTTCTTCGAGCTGCAGCTGACGCTGTTGGAGGACTTCAGGATCCGACTGACGCAGCTGATGCGGGACAAGCATCCGCTGCATGCCAGCTACTGCTCAATTCTCAACGCCGTCAACTACATCATCCTGGTGCTGAAGGACTGGAGTGATCTACCGGTGCGCGCGCGCGTGCGTGTGTGTGCGTGCATGCATGTGTGGTGTAGTCAGTAGTGTTAGTGTCGTGAGTGATTGTGTGGCGTGCGTAGCGGTCGTTCAGTGCTGTGTGCGAGCCGTGCGTGGCAGTGGTGCCGTGCGTGTTGTGTGTGCGCATGTGCGCGTGCGTGCATGCGTGGGTGTGCATGCATCTGTGCGTGTATTAGGGCTGTAACGATACACAAGCCTCTCGATTCGATCCGGTTCTCGATATTAGCCTCTCGATTCATTTCCTTCGATTTGATTCCCAAAATATTGAAATATCTTGTTTTTTATATTTTCATTATTTTGCAATAATAAATTATTAGAAATTGCCAATGAATACTAAATGGTGAATAGACTATGGAGTCTAGAGAGTATATAATACTATATATACACTGCACAGACACTGAGTAACATTGGTGAGTAACACTCCACAGTATATAGCGTAGTGCCGCCATCTATTGGAGGAAAAAAGTGGTATCAAAGTGGAACCGAAAATACGGGGAAAAATGTCGAGGATCGGATCGAGGGAATAGAATCGCGATCCGATTCGATTTCGGTGGATCGTTACAGCCCTAGCGTGTATATATCATAATATGGATATGGGTGCGTGTGCATATTTGTGTGCATGCGTGTATGCGCATGCGTGTTTGTGTGTTGCTGCGATTCATTTGGGATAAAAACGTTCTCAATTTCAGGTGTTCCTCCAGATGCAGTTTTATAAAGTGCAATACGAGAGCTTTCAGGCCAGTCAGCATCTGGAGTCTGCCTCGGATGTTGCCATGGAAACAGATGCTGACATTTCAGATGCTGCGTCGCAGCCAATTTCACCAATAGTGCCAAGATTTCAACTGAGTGAGGTGAAAGGTTATATATATACATGATGCTTTTAAGAATTTTCTAGCCATCAGATGCAATATAAATGTGGAAATAAACCTCAGCCTGTAAGTATGTGAGTGTTTTATTGGAAATTTTGGATAGTTTTTTTGGTGTCATGATGCTGCATTTATTATCAAGTGGTCAGCATTCTGCTGTAACTCAGTGTATTCATAAATTCGTAGGTCTTCCAGGATTTTGATCCAAGCAAGCTGGACTTTATTGAAGGTTCCATCTTTGATGAGACAATCAAACTTCTTGAACACATTCGCAACGAAATGCTGCGGAACATTGTCGAAACAACAGTGTACGACATCAAAGCCAAGAGCCGGCCTTATCGAAACAACAGGTACTTTTAACGGAATGTATAATTTCATACCTTTAATCAGTGTGTGTGTGTGTTGTTGTTGTGTGTGCGTGCGTGCGTGTGCACCTATGCATGTGCATGAACGCGTGGATACGTGCGCACGTGTCTTTATAATATCTACTCTCTAATAATTACCTAGATAAATTTTCACTTTTCTTTAAACATTCAAGCCGGTTGAGATTAATATTTTAAGTCATCATTGTAATGTCATCTGTTCTGGGAACCTAGTGCCTTGTGTATTCCTACATATTCAAACATTCGTTTAGCTTTACAGCTAACAAAAAGGCTGGTTTCATTGAGTACTCTCCATCTATCAGCTTCTACACTAACACAAACACTCGTTGTAGCTTGTACGATACTCTTCAGTCTACGTTTCACATCCTATCATCATAATATAGATGAGCCCTCTAGGGTTTTGCTGAGTGAAAGATGATAGCGACGTTGCTGCTGCGTAGGTGGCTGTCATTGCTCTCACAGAAGGAGTACCTCAAGTTGACGCTGTCTGACTCAGGATGTGAACTGTTCCTCGTGCTCAGGGACAGGCTTCATCTGATGGAGCAGCAGCTGTGTCGACCGCTGTTCGACGAGGCGTGGCAGAAGTTGGCCGAGCACCTAAACAAGTTTTTCTTCGAGGAGGTATGTGAGACAGCGAGCGCGACATTGCCTTGAACGTGTCCCGACATGTACTATGTTGCCGCATTTAATTAGGAATCGCGTTTGCGTTAATGCACCGATTTGAACACGAAGGCAAAATCATGTTTTGAGGCGATACTAGATTAATTATTCAGCAGATAGTCCTGTCCAGGCAGTTATTGAATATTATTGTAATTTGCTACGCTTACGCTATGCTCTTTATGTCTGTATGTACAATACTTTGCCAACAATGATATTTTTGTGTGTGCCCTGTTTTTATATTCTTAATTACGAACAAACAAGTAATGAGATATGACTATAATATTTATAAATTTATTTTTTTAAATTTATTAATTATATATGTATAATTATTTACATATTCTCTTTGTGCTGCAGCTTATATTGATGAATAATTTCAACGAAGGCGGTGCAGCACAGTTGCAGTATGACATGACGCGTGGCTTATTTCCTCTGTTTGGCGATTATACACAAAGACCTGAGAACTATTTCAAAGAGTGAGTCCCGATGTTATCTTAGATATACATTATTATTATAGTACATTGTGTTATTGTAAATTGTTATATACTGTCTCACCCGTATTCTCCCCCATCACGCACAGCATCAAGGAAGCCTGCACCTACTAACTCCTCACTATTCTCTCCCCCGTAACACGCAGCATCAAGGAAGCCTGCACCTACTAACGCCTCACTATTCTCTCCCCCGTAACACGCAGCGTCAAGGAAGCCTGCACCTACTAACTCCTCACTATTCTCTCCCCCGTAACACGCAGCATCAAGGAAGCCTGCACCTACTAACTCCTCACTATTCTCTCCCCCGTAACACACAGCGTCAAGGAAGCCTGCACCTACTAACTCCTCACTATTCTCTCCCCGTCTAACCCACACAGCACTAAGGAAGCCTGCCACCTACTAACTCCTCACTTGTTCCTCCCCGTAACACACAGCATCTAAGGAAGCCCTGCACCTACTAACTCCTCACTTATTCTTCTCCCCGAACCTACACTAGCGTCAAGGAACCCTGCACCTACTAACTGCCTCACTATTCTCTCCCACCGTAACACACACGCATCAGCGAAGGCCTGCACCTACTAAGCTCCTCACCTATTCTCTCCCCCTAACACACAGCATCAAGAGGAAGCCTGCACCTACTAACTCCTCAGCTATCTCTCCCGCGTAACAGACCACGCATCAAGGAAGCCTGCATACGGCTACTAACTGCCTCACTAATTCTCTCCCTCGTAAACACACAGCATCAAGGAAGCCTGCACCTACTAACTCCTCACTATTCTTCTCCCTCATAACACACAGCATCAAGAAGCCTGCACCTATGCTAAACTCTTATACTTTCTCTCCCCGTAACACGCTAGCATCAAGGAAACCTGCACCTACTAAACTCCTCACTATTCTCTCCCCCATAACGCACAGCATCAAGAAGCCTGCAACCTACTAACTCCTCACTATTACTTCCCCCGTAACACACAGCATCAAGGAGCCTTGCAGCCTACTAACTCCTCACTATTCTCTCCCCCGTTAACACAACAGCATCAGGAAGCCCTACCTACTAACTCCTCACTATTCTCCCGTCATAACACACCAGCCATCAAGAAGCTGCACTACTTACTCCTTCACTATCTTACCTCCGTAACACACAGCATCAAGGAACCTGCACCTTACAACTGTCCTCACTGATTCTCTCCCGTAACACATCAGCACTCAAGGAAGCCTGCACCTACTAACTCCTCACTATTCTCTCACTCTGTAACACACAGCATCAAGGGAAGCCGTGCACCTACTAACTCCATCTCTATTCTTCCCCCGCGTAACACAGCAGCTATCAAGAAGTTTCTGCACCTACTAACTCCTACTATTCTCTCCCCGCTAACACAGCAGTGTCAAGGAAGCCTGACCTACTAACTCCTCACTATTCTCTCCCCCGAACGCTGCAGCAGTCAAGTGAAGCCTCCACTTACTATACTCCTCCACTATTTCTCTCCTCCGTACACACAGCATCAAGGAAGCTGACCACTACTAACGTCCTCACTAATTCTCTCCCTCGTAACACATCAGCATCAAGGAGCCTGCACCTACTAACTCCTCACTATTCTCTCCCCCGTAACACACAGCATCAAGGAAGCCTGTCACTCTCAACTTCCTCACTATTCTCTCCCCGTAACGCACGCTAGCATCAAGCGAAGCCTGCCAGCCTACTAAGCTCCTGTCACTATTCTCTCCCCCGTAACGCGAGCCATCCCAGGAAGCACTTGCACACTAAACTCCGTCACTATTCTCGTCCCCCGTAACACACTCAGCGTCAAGGATAGCCTGCACCTACTAACTCCTCATCATTCTCTCCCTACGTAACACACAGCATCAATGGAAGTCCCTTGCACCCTACTAACTCCTCTATTCTCTCCTCGTAACACACAGCGTCAAGTAAGCCTGCCCACCTTGCTAACGCTTTTGAAGCCGTGCTCGGCGATTGCTGCATCAGCGAAGGTGCTCGCTGTGGCCGTGCACAGCGCTCCGGACGGCGACGACGACGACCGCACGAAGCGTGCCGAACCCATCGCCGCCGCTGCCTGCACGAGGGCCGCCATCTCTACCGGCTCCGGCTGCGATCGCGGCTTACCGGGGCTTGCGCACCCTACCAGCCGACCTGCATCTGTAGTGACGGTGAGCTCAGCCTGAGTATGAGAAGGGGCAAGGGAGGAGAGAGGAGGGGGGCGGGAGGATGGGAGTGGGGGCATGAGGCATATAGGCGGTGCCCACTTATGAGCCGACGTACCTGCGCCTGTGTAACGCGAGCTCATGCCCTGAGGTAATGGACGTTAGGCGGAGGAGGAGGGGAGAGGGAGGAGTGGAGGCGGAAGGAGGATGGCCGCAGGGGGATGAGCATAGAGAGCCCTGCACTTATGCACCGACTGCAGCCATGACGGCCGAGCTCAGCTGACGGTAATGAGAGGGTAGGCGGCGAGGGGAGGCAGGCGCGGCATGGGAAAGGAGGCTGGGGAGGGGCGATAGATCATATGGGTGCTGCACTACGCACTGACTGCCAGCCATGACGCGAGCCTCAGCTGACGGTATATGAGAGTGTAGGGGCGAGAGACGGGAGGGGGCATGGGAAGAGGCTGGGAGGGATGAGGCATATAGGTGCCCTGCACCTATCGCAACTGACCTGCCCTGCCGTGACGGTGAGCTCAGCTAGAGGTAATGAGAGAGGTGCAGGGGGAGGAGGGGGATGGTGGGGATGAGGCATTATTAGGGGCCTGCACTAGCACCGACCTGCAGCCCATGACGCGAGCTCAGCTGAGTAAATGAGAGGTTTAGGGAGGAGAGGAGGGCATGCGGATAGGAGGCTGGGAGGGGGGATGAGCAATAGGGTGCTGCACCTACCACTGACCTGCTGCCCGTGACGTAGCTCAGCTGAGAATGAGAGGGTGCAAGGAGATGGGGAGGAGGGGATGAGGTATGAGATGGCTTCCAGATGGGGAGGGCGGAGGCAGGAGCGAGGATGGGACGGAGAGGGTGATATAAAAGAAATGGAGGTGGATGATGAGAGAGCCAAGGGATCAGAATAATGACGGAGGAGATGGGGGATGACGATAGTTAATCGAAGAAATAATTACTCACATTGTGATAATTCGTGTACTCAACACATGGCCTGTCAGATGCGGCCTTCATGAGAGAGAGCTGGAACGACTTCGCCCCGTTTTGCGCGCCACCCACATCTCCGGCGACAAGACCGCGCCCCCAACGCCGAATATCGCCGCCCCCTTTTTGTCCACTTTAGACGATATCTGAGACAGGGTCTGAAAACGCCCTACGCGAAAAGCTGGGCAATCCATACCAAATTTCGCGATGACACATTAGGCCATCTTTCCAAACTCGCCCCAACCTTTTGTGCGGTCCGCGCCCTCATGGCTATAAGAAACGTATTGACTCTTACAAGAAAGCTCAAGAAGATGCTGTCAATCACCGATCACGCGCTCGCCTCGTTGCCCTACTCGATGCTGGCCGATACTGCGAGTAACTAGAGTTTCGTTCTATCACATAGCTGTTTACGAAAGTGTCGTACGGCGCTCCATCGTGGGGGGCGCGGCCTACATGGCTATCTGAATGCGATGCGCCGTTTACGCGCCTGTCTGCATACGCTGCCATATCTTTCAGCACCCCCCGACCCCCTCGCTGCCCGTGGCAACGTCACGTCTGCGAACCACGCTACGTGCAGTGCCGGCGGCAAATTTTTTCCCCGAAACGAAAGGAATTTAGGCGCTTTTTGATGCCTGAGTTTGAGCAAGATGTCACCTCATGAACTCCACGTTACCAAAATCCCAAATCCT